CCCCAACAAAATGCATTGTCTTCACAAACACAGAGACATAAAGAAAAAGTCCACCAAAGGGTCTCTAGCAATGCACTGCGAAACGACCACTGCCGTTGGGTTGAGAAGTGTCAGGAGAAGCTGCAAGTTATTGTGAGTCTGTGCCACAACAACCAACCACTGTCCTTTTAAAAAAGTTTTACTAAGAGTTATACGGCACTTGCAATACAATAAGGTCATATAAGTGCCGAAGATTAGAAGCGTTACAAGAGAGTAACAAACACAAAAAAAGAAGGAGGGGAGATAGAGAGGATAGATTTTTTATAGGAAAGAAGGAGCAAACCACACCAGAGCACCGGCCAACCACCCACAACCACTGTCCACGAAGAAGTTTACGGCAAAACAAACTCTGAAGAGAAGTAGACGGAGCAGCTTACAGCACAGGGTGCCCCCGTTCTCTCTTTACGGTGGGAAGGAGACTTAACCATACTTTCATACAAGGTGTCGTAAAGGCCAGCAAAACAAACGGAATAGAAAAGGAGGGGAAAGAAAACAGAGGCGACTCTCAACCACCTAAATTCAGCAATTGGATAAACGTTGGAGAGGTGTAACAATTAAAAAATTGGATAAAGGAGCAAATTCAGAAGTTGGGAGGAGGCAACAACAGTTTAGCAAGTTTACTAAAACAATACTAAATAAACTAAACTAAAGAAAGGTATAGTGGGGCAGGAAGAAAAGGAAAGAAGAGTTGCTAGATAAGAAAACCAAGGAATCATGGAGCAACCTTCCATACTCAAAACTCAGCAGTAGAATGGAGAAGTCTGTTCACCCCAAACATGTTACAATTTCAAAAACTACAATGTAATATACACTAGAGGGATGTGACCGTTCACAAGGGGTGAGAAATGCCTGGACTGACAATGCTGCGCAGCACAGAAAAAAGCTAATAATAATAATAATAATAATAATAATAATAGCACAATATCAGCAGCACAAAATGAGTGTCCACCTAGAATTCTTTTCCACTGAAAACAGCTCATACATAATACTTCTAAAGCCAGAGTTTAAAAAAGAAAATATTTTTCGAACCTCACCTAATAATAATAATAATTGCATTTATATAGCGCAT